GGGGGGGGGGGGGGGGGGAGAGGTTCAAGAGGTCTAGCAATTCATAGATCTGGGGTATTTTTGGACGAGAGTTTATGTGAATTATTTTTAAGAGCAATGAGAGTAAAAAATCAGTGGAAATTGTTCTGGGGGAAGTGGGTTTCAACAATTTCTAGAAATTTATGTTTTTTTTTCCATGAGTTGCGTTGAGGGCTGTTACTTGGGAGATTTTTCGTGGATAATGTTTGTAATATTCTCCAGCTATCGAAGACATAATGAAATGAGGCACGTGCCAATCAGTGAAATTAATTAAAAATAAATTCAATTTAATTTTCGTTGTTTTTTCGTTTAGAAAAATCCAATTCTATTGATTTTTCCTCCAAAATATTTCCATTTGAGCGTTCCTATAAAAAAAAGCTGTGGATTTTTGAAATAGGTAGAACACTAATCGAAATTTTAATAGAAATCCATTAGAATTTTCTAACGAATTCTATGACATTTTTAATCTGGGAAAAAACGCACCGGGTTCAATCGTCGATATTTCGATAATGGCAGAGTGAAAATTTACAATTTTTTTTTCATTTTGAGGGTATTTTCATAGTCTTCAAAATGAGACCTGATTCATCCAAATCGCATCGCTTGGTCGCGAGATATCTGCAATTGAATTGTGAGACCCTTTCGAAAACAATAAAATAAAAATGTTTTTTTGACTTTCAGTCACTTGACACGAACGACAACATGGGAGGATCCGCGCAAAACAGCGGCAGCGGCCAATGTGACGACAATAGCAGCGGCTGAGAATGGTAAATCACCGGCGGGAGCTGGTGCAAATGCCCTTGGTCCACTGCCCGAGGGCTGGGAGCAGGCACGCACACCCGAGGGTGAGATTTACTTCATCAACCATCAGACACGAACGACGTCTTGGTTCGATCCGAGAATTCGTAAGTATCCGAACGGATGTTTATGTCCAGGAAAATACTCACTTCCTTTAAAATTTCAAGAACCGGTCACGTTTAAAATTAATTCACTGCTTTGTTCTTCCTTTGGAAACGAAGTCTTGTTTTTTTTTTTTATAATTTCCGATTGCAATTTTTTTTGTGGAGATGAGAGAAAATTTTTAACAATAATTTGCTGCGATCTTCAAAAACGTTATATGTGAGAAGATTTAATAGGAAAATGTAGGGCTTTCTATAGAGAATTCTATAGAATTTTATACTGCAATTTTTTAAAATTTCCACTGAAATTTGAAATTTCAACCAATTTCTTCATTCAATATTTGCGATTTCATAAAAAAAAATTGCACAAAATTATTATTTTAAGTTCAATTACTCCAAGAAAATTAATAGGAAACAAAATCCTTTGAATTTTCACTGAAATTTGAATTTTCAAGCTATTTTTTTCCTTCAAAATTCACAATTCGATAAAAAAAATAACCCAAAATTGCAACTTTAATTTTAATTATTCCTTAAAAATTCATAGAAAACAAAAAAATTAGGTAAATATGAGAAAACTGCCAATTTAATTTCAATAATTTGATGAAAATTACATAATTACATTATTTTCCGTATGAAAACCTTCAATGGGAAAATATAGCGCCTTCTCCCAGGAATTCTATTGAATTTTATATTGCAATTCCCTTCAATTTCCACTGAAATTGGGAATTTCAAACAATTTCCTCATTCAAAATTCACAATTCGCTTAAAAAATTACCCAGAATTGTAATTTTAAATTTAATTATTCTATGAAAATTCATAGACAACAAAAAATGTAGGTAAATATTAGGAAAATTGACAATTTGAACAAAAAATCAATCAAAACTGCAAATTTCAGTTCAATAATTTCCCGAAAATGACTGAAAATAAAAAAAAATTCAATTAATTAAAAACTCCGCCCAATTCGCTCCTGAATACTCCCACGTCAAAAGAACAGAATAAACATTTACAAATCAGCGAGAAATCTACATGAAGACGAATCGAACTGATCCAACGCGCGCCGAGTTGCTTGTTTTTTCTCTCCACCGCGAAGATTTATCTCTCTAACGCAGAGTCAATAAATACCTGCGTTCAAGAATAATTCCCTTGCCATTCTCAATCGCGAATGAAATTCAAGGTCGTTAAAGTATCATTGAAATTGCATCGATTTGCATTCGTGGGTAATGGCCGATAAGGACGCATGATAATGACTATTCTCTCTATTTTTAATTCAGCAACGCATCTTCAGAGAGCCCCAACATCCGGTGCAATGTTACCCACAAACTGGATTCAACCACCTGGTGCTACTGGTCTACAGAGCAATCAGACTATTCAGGTGTGTCAACAGAAATTGCGACTCCAGTCGTTGCAGATGGAACGAGAGCGACTCAAGCAGAGGCAAGCTGAGATTATGAGACAGGTTTGAATTTTCATGAGCATTTAGATTTTTTTTTAGATTTTTTGAGTTGAGAAGTTTGAAACGAGTTCAATAATTTAATGAAAAATACATAATTATATAATTCTATACATGGAACGATTGAATAAGAAAATATAGCGCTTTCTCCAGAGAATTCTATTGAATTTTATGTTGTAAATCCTTCAAATTTCCACTGAAATGTGAAATTTCAGGCAATTTCCTCATTTAAAATTCCCAATTCGATTAAAAAATTACATAAAATTGTGACTTAAATTTTAATTATTCCCTGAAAATTCATAAAAACAGTAAATTCAGGTAAATATGACGAAAATTCACAATTTGACGAAAAAATCAGTCAAAAGTTCAAATTTCAGTTCAATAATTTCCTGAAAATGACTAAAAATCATAAAAATTCTTGTTCAATTAATTAAAAACTCCGCCCAATTCGATCCTGAATATTCCCACGTACAAAGAATAGAATAAACATTTAGAAATCAGACTCAAGCAGAGGCAAGCTGAGATTATGAAACAGGTTTGATATTTCATGAGCGTTTCGTTTTTTTAAAGATTTTTTTAGTTGCGAAGTTTGAAACGAGTTGAATTTTCAGTTCAATAATTTAATGAAAAATCCATAATTATATAATTTTACATATGAAAACATTCAATAGGAAAATATAGCGCTTTCTCCAGAGAATTTATTGAATTTTATATTGCAAATCCTTTAAATTTTCACTGAAATTTGAAATCTCAGGCAATTTCCTCATTCAAAATTCACAATTCGATTAAAAAATTACACAAAATTGTGACTTTTTTAAAATTATCATGGGCACTTAGATTTTTTTAAGATTTTTTTTAGTTAAGAATTTGAAATAAGTTGAATTTTCCCTTAAAAATGTTCCTCAATCTGAATCTGCTGATGAAAAATGTCAAGAGACTTCTCACGATTCATTCTTTGACATTTTCTGCTACATTTATTTTGAAATTTCTGTAAACTCTTCCCTCCGATGATATCATTTCATTAAAATATTAAAGCAAACGTCTTAGTGTGCCATTCCTACTCATGTTCACAGTATTTTACGTTTTATCTAACTTCAATCGTTTAATCCACAGCAAGAACTGATGCTGAGACAAAGCAACACAGACGCCTCGATGGATCCATTTTTGTCCGGTATGAGTGAACAACACGCGCGTCAGGAGAGTGCTGACTCTGGTCTCGGTCTCGGCTCGGCTTATTCACTCCCACATACGCCCGAGGATTTTTTGTCGAATATTGATGACAATATGGATGCCACGAGTGGTAAGAAAATATCGTTAATAAAGAGTGAAAAGTGTCTTCTCAAATCTTTCGCTCTTAAGATGATTACAAAGTTGCAATGAAAGTTCATTTAAAATTCGAATTAAGTTGAAATCATTTCGAGAAATCCCAGACTTTGCAAAAATTATTCCTTAAATATCTGAAGAACCAGTGGTTTATAAGAAGTGGCCAAAGATCTTTTTAGAACATAAAATTCTTTATAAAAAAATTACTTCTGACATTTTTTCCTCAAATAACTTGTTAAAAAAAATACAAAAATTCGTTTTAAAATAAATGTTTAAAGATAAATATAAATAATTCGAAAAAAATTAATGTTTACAAATAAGTCGAAAATTTGAATTGAATTAAAATCAGTACTAGAAATCCAAATTTTTTTTTGGTGAGAAAATATTAGAAATAATGAGCGAACGATTGCAAATCGATGAATGTGTCGGTGTATGTTTTTTTTCGTGATGTGGGGGTAAACAAGTGGTTTTATTTTTTTCTTCAGATGGTGGAGCACCAATGGAAACTCCAGACATATCAACTCTGAGCGATAACATCGATTCTACCGATGATCTTGTGCCTACCCTACAGGTATTTTATTGATAGTATTTTGCAGGGGATTGATTCGTTTGATTTATCGTGAACTTTTCATTGCAACAGAATTTTTTTGTGAAAGGTCTTTTGATATTTTTCATTATTTTTCATCATTTGAATCTGAATCATTTCTAGATATTCAAGAGTTTTGCAAAAATTGATTCTCAAATGTTTGCAAAACTAGTGGATTTATAAAGTAATATCAAAAGACACTATAAATAATTTTATTTCGCAAAAAAAATTGGTATTCTTCCTTATGAATTTTAATTTTTAATTTTAATATGGGAATTTTCATTTGTTTGAGTTTAGTGAAGAACTATTAAGTGAAGTAAATTTTGTTAAAGTTCAGTGAAATTTAACTTAAAAATTAATTTCAATTTAAATAACTTCAATCAATTATTTAAATTTAATCGAAAAAAATAATTGTCTTCATTCTCAATGAACTACAAATTTTAATTTTAATATGGGAATTGTCACGTGTCTCAGTTTAGTGAAGAACCATCAAGTGAATTAAATTTTATGTTAAAGTTCAATGAAATTGAACTCAAAAATTAATTTCAATTCAAATAACTTCAATCAATCATTTAAATTTAAACAAAAAAATAATCGTCATCATTCCCCCTGAACTTAAATTTTTAATTTTAATCCAGTAATTCTCATTTGTCCCAGTTTAGTGAAGAACTATCGAGTGATATCCTGGACGACGTGCAATCCCTGATAAACCCGAGCAGCACGAAACCGGAGAACGTCCTGACGTGGCTGTAGTACGAGCCCAATGGTCCAACAATTCGATCCCATCCAACTCGAGTTAAGTGGCATCGACACTGAATGCCTTTTCCACAAGTTGAAGCATGCAATTCAAACAAGACAGCATAAATTCCCATCCAATTCACCTTGAGCCTCGAAAGAAATCCGACTAATCACCAAGTGCCTTAAAAAACCTAAAAAACCAAGAGAACGAAATTCTTCAACAAAACATGATCCATCCATTTTAAATTCTCTTCGAGGGTGTAAATAATCATCTCATACGACAATAATAAATGTAAAGAGTCAGAGACACGCTGAAAAAAATCATAAATCTATAATCAATAAATCATTGTCGAACGACGTACATAAAGTATTGAAGTGTAGCTCAAGTCTGGTATCATGACGTATCAGATTAATCGTTTATGGACTCTCGAGTCATGTTGAATCGAATGTGCAATTAATAATCAATGTTACAAGACATTAAAATCATGAGCCAGGTGAGTAAACTAAGAGTTAACGATTAATGAATAAAAAAAATATCAAGTTGAAGTGATGAAAGAAAGGCAGAGTAAAGAGATGCCTTAATTAGTGCCTTTTGAATAAAACTCAATGATGAAAGCCATCATTTTTAAACAATAAGCAGTAACCGTCCATAAGAACCATTTAATGTTAACGAAAATAACGTCTTTATTCGTTTTATGTAAACGACGTTGAATTGAATAAGAAACTCGAGCATTTTTTTCTTCTTTTTTTTCGTCTGAGGCATCGAGTGAACGTGCGAAATGAATAGTAAATATATCCACACAAATATTATATATTTTTTTTATATATAAAGTCTATAATTGTTACGAGTTAGTTATACGAATGCCTTGTTAGATTGTAATGTTTCGATACGTTTTATATGACATGGAATAATCATTTGTCTCGCTGTTGGAGGCGAGGAGCATTGGAAAATTGAAATTAACGCCAAGAGAGCGAATTTCGGGTGATTATTGGCATTGGCTGTTGCTCCTGTCTCCATTATTCTCATTGCATTGAGTGTCACGATAAGATTTGTCGATTTATATCGATGTAGTTGATATTAATGTTCTGCTCCATGTGAATGAAGAGTAAAATGACGGAATTGTCGTTTTTGTCTGCTTCACTCGACAGAATTGACGAGAATTTTTTGTAATTTAAGTTGGCAGCTCACTGAAACCAGTAAGAAGAAACGAGTGATGAATCGAGGATTGGTGATCCTGAGGTGTGATAATTGCTCGTTTCTTTTTGTTGATAAGAGATTAACGATTAGGTGTAATGTAAAATTAACTCTGCAATAGGCTCTCCCCTCTTTTCGATTGAAAACTATAGAAAAGTCGGTGGAGATGCGCGAAAATGTGCCCTTACACGAGTGATACGAAGATTTTGTTATACTATTAATGATAATTAAATCTTTGATATCTGTGACGTGCCTTATTATTGCTGTAGACAATTAACTGTATGTTATATTTATGCTGTTACTCACGAGATTGATTATGTGGAAGGATTTAATCGGAAATTGATGTGTTTATTGGAGTTGCAGGGAACGATTGGTTTTATCGAGTTCTGTAATTTTTTTTCTTTTCTCTTTCGATATTAATTCGTTGGATTTTGTGTAATGTATTGCTTCAATTATACGTTCGATTGTTTATGATTATTTTCGCTTCTTTTTTATTCATTCATGGGGAGAGTATTTTCGGCGCACACGACGGGGGAGAGTGCATTTTCTCGTTGTGACTCAATCGTGGATTTTTTTTTTTCTTTAGGATCGCTGTAACGTTATGAAAGACGTCATTGTAAGAGTCTTGGCGACGATTATGGATTTATTCCTTATTTAGATACAGCACGCACGGTACATAACGCCCGAGAGATTAATGGTTAATTTGTAATAACAGTTTTTTTCGACTTTTTTTTTTTTCTTTTCGTGATAAATCAGTTAGTTTTCTATACCAGTATTTGAATATGCTCATTGGCCGGATTTAATTGTCACGTACATTTTTATATTGGTAACAAAGTGCCTTAGTTGTTAATTGTAACAATAAATCTACATATTGTTTACTTAAGTGATTCAAGTGTTTGAGTTTTCTTTTTTACTCAAGTCATCGCAATGATTTTTTTTTCAGAGAATTCAATTATAAATTATAATTGAATTATAATTATTAGTATATTAATAATAAATTAATTAGTAATAATTGATAATTAATCAACAAAATAATAATAAAATTATAAAAAAACTTCTTGAATGAAATTAATTTATTTTTAATTATTAATAATAAACTCATTTTTCTCAAGAACTTTTTTTTATCGTTTTTCATCATTTTGTTGATTAATTATTAATTGTTGTTTAATTAATAATTAATCATTTATTATTTGTAATTAATTGTTAATTAATTATCGCCTGTTTCCTTGGATTTATAAAAATCCTCAAGAATCTTCAACATCGGTTCGTAGAGGATTTTTTTAACATCTTTAGCAGTGACAAAACTCCCATGACCGAATTTCTTGTGTTCAATAATTTGATAATTCAAGTCGAGGTCCTCGGGAAGTATTTTGACTAGATTCCCAGCATTTTCTAGGGTTGCCAGCGGATCGTTCTGTCCTTCGAAAATTATTGTCGGCGCTCGAATGTTGCTCAGGTCGTACTCTGGAGCCTTGGCTTGTCCATAGGCCTCACGATTTCCTGCTGTCGTCCAATATTTGTAATGCCCAAAGCTTCCTTCAATGTGAAGTTTAATATAATATTAAATATTGGTATTCTTTCGTAAATTCTAGGAAACAATAGGACTTTAACAGAAATTTATAGAAGCAATAAAAAAGTCCTATTAAAATAAATTTAATGGGATTTTAACAGAGAATTTTTTGAATTGGCAAGTAAATGTTCCATAATTTTCTTTTGGACTTCTCCATTTTTTTAATCACCCGCAGAAATATCTGACGCTCAGGGAGAAATGAAAAATTAATTCTTTTTAGAGGAATTTTTAGAATGAAAAGAGTTTAATTACCCCATCTTAATTGCTGTCCATAATGCTGAAATACCTTTGCTGAAGTCCCTGCAGGGTAGTGGCTCAGTAAATACACTGCCTCTTCGTCCTGCAATGAAATTAAAATCCGCTAAATTCACTTCAATCGACTAAATAATTTCAATGCTTCTTCACCAGCATTTTGAAAAATTTTATTTCTGCTTACGACGTCAAATTGCTCTGGATCATGGCCGAGCAGTATTCTGAACGGAATCCGGCACAATTTCACTGTTACGGCGTTTAAGCAGAAGTAATGAATAATCGCGGGCTGGGCGATATTGGGAATTGGGAATTCAACTGCCCCACTTGGTGGCAACACCTGCAGGAATGAAGCGACGATTGCTAGGAGAAGTCTGATGAGATTCCAAGTCTTCCAGTAAGACACTGGAGCAAAGTGGATGACAACTGTTAATTTATGATTATATTCTGGTTTATCAGCGAGCAGCATTAGAATCAGGGTGGTTCCGAGGGAGTGACCGATGTAGGACAATTGTGGCTGTCCTGTGGTTGCGATAATGTAATCGAGCATTGCTGGTAAATCCCGAAGTGCGTATTCATCCATACTGGGAGTAGAAACAGTCGTCATTCACTCATAAAGAGATGTAATTTAGTTATTTGGAATACCTGAAGTCCCAGAATTCTGAATCATCAGTTGAATGCTTTTTGTGTCTACGACTGTAGTGAGTCCCTCGTACATTGCCGATCCAAACATCGTATCCAGCGTCAGATAGCGAATAAGCTGGGGGTGAAAGTGGGAAAAATCGATGAGTCCAAAAGGTATTTGCAGACTACTTTGCGATTATCTTCGAAAGAAAGGGATTCAGAGAAATTCATTAAAAGACCTCTCTCTTTTGACATTAGTCTTCGAATCTACTAGTCTCCGAGATACTGCTGAATAATAAATATGAAATTCAATCGGAGGATGGAAACTTTACCGAGACTTCTGCCAGGTCCGAATAAAATAAAAATATCAGCAGTGGCACCCAACCCAGGCTGCAGATAAAATGCACGACTTTTTCGTGTTTCATTGTGATATGCAGAATTCGGCGGGACTCTGAATAACGAGAGGATGTATCCATCCTCAGTGGTGACGTTGTGCCACTGCACCTCACGTCTGTGCTTCTCAATCAGTCCCAGCTATTCAAAATAACTTCCCTCAATTTCCAGTCAACTCCGCAACGATTACTTCATTTGAATAATTAACTTACGAAGTCGAGGGCGTAGAACCTCGTCCCGTTGGCCTCCTCGTCGCTCCGAAAGTATTTGGTTCGAAGATCAAATGACGATGTTGGTAGTTGGAATGAAAATAAAATTGCAACAATTATCTGTAGGCGCTTAACCATCGTTAACTCTAAATAATATGCAGTTTGGTCAGGACAGGAGGGACTGAATACACTTCGTCAACAATAGTGACATCGTTGTCACTGTTCCTCATGACTTACGATATTGCGTACATTTTCGAATATTTCCTTACATATCGCTTTTTTTTGTCTTATCAAAGGTGACGTAATTGTCTTTGTTGACAAGCAACAACGTCGCTATCGCTAAAAAGACAAGAGAATTAGGACCGTCAACTGACAATAGCAATAATTAGTCTTCCATATTTTCTAATTAGCAAAAAACATTACACGTGCAAGTTGGAGTTGTTCACATTTCCCACTCGCCCTGGGAAAAAATGTCGTTAAATTCTAGTGATGAATTATTTAAAATTGAATGGAAATACTCCACGAAATTCCAATTTTTCCAAATTATTCTCGCTAAAAATTATTCAAAACTCGTTTTTATTCGAATAACAGAATTAATCCTCAACTGGTTCCTCAGACCCACGAGACTCTTCGAGAATCTTCAGCATCGGTTTGTAGAGGATCTCCTCGACATCTCGGGCACAGGAAAAATCCCTGTGATTGAATTTTTTATAGCCAATAATTTTGTAAAGTAGTTCGAGATCCTTAGGGAGCTTGTTGATCAAGTTCTCGGTATTTTCTAGGGTCGCTATCGGGTCGTTCTGCGCTTCGAAAATTATCGTGGGTACTCGAACGTTCGTCAGGTTGTACTCAGGCGCTTCCGCTTCGTCCGTGCCCTCGCGATTCCGCGGTATCGGCCAGCGTTTGTAATGTCCAAAGTTTCCTGCAATGTAATTCCGAAATGTAAAAACGAGAATTTAGAAAAGAATTTTTACTGCCCCACGGGGCAGTTGCATGACATTTAGCAATTTTTCTATGTCAAGATTTCGTTTTCGATGAAACATTTTTCGCGCGATAATTTTCAAGAAATTATTTTGTCATGAATTATTCATTTTTCTAATTTCTGTAGCGAAGTGGTGAACTAGGATAAATGCAAAAATGGAGCTTTTCCGGGGAGTTAAAAAAATTAAACACGTTTGAGAGAAAATTTTTCAAAAAAATTGCATTTATCCTAGTTTACCACTTCGCTACAGAATTGATCATTACTAATCTCCATTGTAATGAATTTCAAGTAATTTCTGCAATTGATTTTTCACTGAAAAATCAATTATTAAAAATAATAACAATTCTTTTCAATAAAATATAATAATAGTTTTTTTGTAATTTTTTCTATTCATTATGTGGGCCATAACTCACAAAATTATAGAATATCGAACTGTGTTTCAACACAATTGTAAAACTTTTATCAGAATTTTATTGAAACACTATTGGAAGTCGTAAAAAATCGAAAAAAATAGAATAGTTGGAGTTTGCGAAAATTGAAGTCCTCTAATGAAAAATAAATGAGAAATAGTTCAATTACCCGATAGAACCTGTTGTCCATAATGCTGCAATACTTTCGCTGAAGTGCCTGCTGGATAGTGGCAGGACAGGTATACCGACTCTTCATTCTGAAATGAAACATCATTTTCCCGGATAATTGATCCCACCCCAAAATTACTACTACATAATTTTGTATTCATTAGTTTCCCTATTGCTGCTTACGACGTCAAATTGCTCTCGATCCTCCCCGAGAAGTATCTCAAACGGAATCGCGCATATTCTCGCTGTTACGACGTTTATCAAGCAGAAATAATGAGTAATCGCGGGCGGAATGACATTTTGAATTGGGAATTCAACTGCTCCACTTGGCAGCAACATCTGCAGGAATGAAGCGGCGATTGCTAGGAGAAGTCTGGCGAGATTCCAGGTCTTCCAGTAAGACACTGGAGCAAAGTGGATGACAACTGTTAATTTATGATTATATTCTGGTTTATCAGCGAGCAGCATTAGAATCAGGGTGGATCCGAGGGAGTGACCGATGTAGGACANTAGGCCTCACGATTTCCTGCTGTCGTCCAATATTTGTAATGCCCAAAGCTTCCTTCAATGTGAAGTTTAATATAATATTAAATATTGGTATTCTTTCGTAAATTCTAGGAAACAATAGGACTTTAACAGAAATTTATAGAAGCAATAAAAAAGTCCTATTAAAATAAATTTAATGGGATTTTAACAGAGAATTTTTTGAATTGGCAAGTAAATGTTCCATAATTTTCTTTTGGACTTCTCCATTTTTTTAATCACCCGCAGAAATATCTGACGCTCAGGGAGAAATGAAAAATTAATTCTTTTTAGAGGAATTTTTAGAATGAAAAGAGTTTAATTACCCCATCTTAATTGCTGTCCATAATGCTGAAATACCTTTGCTGAAGTCCCTGCAGGGTAGTGGCTCAGTAAATACACTGCCTCTTCGTCCTGCAATGAAATTAAAATCCGCTAAATTCACTTCAATCGACTAAATAATTTCAATGCTTCTTCACCAGCATTTTGAAAAATTTTATTTCTGCTTACGACGTCAAATTGCTCTGGATCATGGCCGAGCAGTATTCTGAACGGAATCCGGCACAATTTCACTGTTACGACGTTTAAGCAGAAGTAATGAATAATCGCGGGCTGGACGATATTGGGAATTGGGAATTCAACTGCCCCACTTGGTGGCAACACCTGCAGGAATGAAGCGACGATTGCTAGGAGAAGTCTGATGAGATTCCAAGTCTTCCAGTAAGACACTGGAGCAAAGTGGATGACAACTGTTAATTTATGATTATATTCTGGTTTATCAGCGAGCAGCATTAGAATCAGGGTGGATCCGAGGGAGTGACCGATGTAGGACAATTGTGGCTGTCCTGTGGTTGCGATAATGTAATCGAGCATTGCTGGTAAATCCCGAAGTGCGTATTCATCCATACTGCGAGTAGAAACAGTCGTCATTCACTCATAAAGAGATGTAATTTAGTTATTTGGAATACCTGAAGTCCCAGAATTCTGAATCATCAGTTGAATGCTTTTTGTGTCTACGACTGTAGTGAGTCCCTCGTACATTGCCGATCCAAACATCGTATCCAGCGTCAGATAGCGAATAAGCTGGGGGTGAAAGTGGGAAAAATCGATGAGTCCAAAAGGTATTTGCAAACTACTTTGCGATTATCTTCGAAAGAAAGGGATTCAGAGAAATTCATTAAAAGACCTCTCTCTTTTGACATTATTCTTCGAATCTACTAGTCTCCGAGGTACTGCTGAATAATAAATATGAAATTCAATCGGAGGATGGAAACTTTACCGAGACTTCTGCCAGGTCCGAATAAAATAAAAATATCAGCAGTGGCACCCAACCCAGGCTGCAGATAAAATGCACGACTTTTTAGTGTTTCATTGTGATATGCAGAATTCGGCGGGACTCTGAATAACGAGAGGATGTATCCATCCTCAGTGGTGACGTTGTGCCACTCCACCTCACGTCCGTGCTTCTCAATCAGTCCCAGCTATTCAAAATAAATTCCCTCAATTTCCAGTCAACTCCGCGACGATTACTTCATTTGAATAATTAACGTACAAAGTCGAGGGCGTAGAACCTCGTCCCGTTGGCCTCCTCGTCGCTCCGAAAGTACTTGGTTCGAAGATCAAACGACGATGTTGATGGGTGGAATGAAAAAATCATTATTACGTGGATGATCACGTCTTTCATCGTTTTTTATTTCATTTCACTTTTCTAATGCACAACACTGTGGCAACTACTGTTGACTCAGACTTGTTAACAATGTTTTTTTAACAACAGAATTTTCATTAAAATAGCATCACTGATACTTAATTCACATGAATATCACTCGAGAATATTAATGTGTGTTTAAAATTTAAAAATTAAAACTACCTGTTCACCTGTTCCCCTATCACTGCTCTCTGAGCATTTTTTAAAGCACACGTACGATAAAATTTCAGAGGAAAACCCAGCGAAATCGATCGAAAATTTCAGTGGATTTCGAAAATTCGGTGAAAATACTAGTTTTTGGCCCATTCTAGTGAAGAATTCAGCGTTTTTCTCATAGAAAATGTCGAATGGGGACTATTTTATGGAAAATATCAATAGAATTTCATCTTTCCGTATAACTTTTTCTACAGAAATTCCCTGACATGAATTTTCTGTTTTATCACTCTATTTTTTCACGGTTTGATAAAAAAAATGAAACAAAAAAAATCAAAAAAAAAATTAAGTCGAGGAGTTTCTGCAGAAAATGTGTATGAAAAATTAGACTCAGTTGTAAAGGAAAATTGAAACCTGTTGATTTTTTCTATAGAATATTTTCCATCGAATCCACCAGAATTTCCTAGCGAATTCGCTAATTTCTTCTACGAAATTTTTTCATACTCAAAAATCCAGTAATACCCGACTATCCCTCGGAGTAATAACACAAGTCACGTGTCTCCCCGTAAAAAACAAGACAGGAATACCCAATCCCTGGCGCAAAATAAATTAAACGAAATTGAGAGATCACTATCTACTGAAGCCAGATTGAGACAGAATTTTCAGTAATTTCGAGTACACGAGCTCGTCGGCGTTCTTGGCGAGCATGAAGTCACCGTGATTGAACTCGTCGTTGTCAACTCTCTCGTAAACCAATGGGGTATCACTGGGAAGTCTGCTGATTAATGCCTCGACATCGTCCGGTGTCGACAGGGGATCATTTGGGGCGTGGAAAATCACGGTTGGAGTGATGATGTTCGTCACGTTGTAGTCGGGTGGCTCCTCGCTTCCGTAAACTTTGAGATTTAAGGCATCTGTCTCGTGCTTGTATCTTCGAAATGTGCCTGAAACACGAGAAGACGAGGGATTTTGCAGGCAAAAATTAATGTTTCATGCGAAAATTTGCCCCATTTTTTAGAAAAATTCCATTGAATTTCTAAAATTCAATTCTATTGAATAATTTCGCAGGTTTAGTGCGCATTTTTTTTCAACTGTAAATGTCTAATGGAAACTGTTCTATAGAAAAAAAATTAGTGACATTTTATTTTTCTATACAATTTTCTATACATTTTTATTGATATTTTCTGTGGGAATTCTTCGACCTGAATTTTCTCTTTTTTTCATTATTTTTGGTGTCTTCTCATTGACAAATTGAACAGAAGAGAAAAATTCCACGGGATGAATTTCGATGGAAAATATCTCAATAAGATCAGTTGTCTAAAAAAATATAATTCAATTGATTCTATATAAAGTACATTCCAAAAAGCTGCTGAATATTTCTTGTGCATGAACCCATTGTCTCTCTTTCAACAAAGATTGAACAGAATGAAAAAATTATGAAAATTATTTATCTAGTGGAATTACTTCTAATTGCCCAATAAAAAAATTATAATAATAAAAAAAATATTGTATCGAATTGAAGAGCATTGTTTACAATTCCTTCCCCAGAAACTCAAAACTTGAAAAACTACCAAATTTGTAAATAAACAAATTAATTAATCATTGATAATTAATTACCAGTGTCCAAATGCTGCATATAATGATAATAAGTTTTTGCGGATATACCAGCTGGATAGTAGCAGAAGAATTCAGGTTCACTATCCTGCAACGAACAATTAACCAAATTAAGACAAACCAGCAAAACGATTCAAATAGATTTTGACTATTCGTCAGTTTTCAAATAATATCTCGGAATCCAAGGCAGATATCAAAATTTTCATAATAACCTTTTTTGTAGCTCTCAACTCGCTCTACAAAAAAGGTTTTAACAAAAATTTCGCTATCTCTCTTATATTCAGAGATATTCCCCAAAAACTCTGAGTCGACTTACGTAATTGATGAACTATTAAATCACTGACTGTTTTATATCACAAAATTAATTGTAAGTGGATGCTTACGACTCTGAATTGACGACTGGGCCCAAGAATGAGATCATAAGGAATGTAGCACAGATCCCTCGTGAAATCATTGATCAAGCAGAAGTGCTTGATGATTCCAGGGAGGACGACAGCCTGGGGCTGGAATTCGTAGGCACCTCGGGGCGACATAATCCTCAGGGGGTGTGCCAAACTCGATATGAAGGTCCTCGTGGGGTTGTGGGTGGTCCAGTAGGAGACTGGGGCCAGCAGGATCAGCGTGTCCAGTTTGGCGTTGTACTCTGGCTTCGCCGAGAGGAGCATCAAACCTGTGGTGGTACCCAGGGAGTGACCCAGGAACGTTATCGTCGGTTGTTTTGTCGCTTCGAAGACGTAATCCAGCAGCACTGGGAGATCCATGAGGGCATATTCGTCCATACTGTCGAGAAAAATTACCAAAATTATTAATTATTAATTATTAATTATTAATTATTAATTATTAATTATT